TGCAGAGCAGCCAGAAAGCAGATCCATGACAGAGAGCACAGAGAGGGAATATGCAATAAATAATGGGTAGACTGATACTGTTGTAGCAAAAGCTTTGTTTATTACAAAGAAAACAAATCATATAAGTTGTTTTATCTAATATTTTTTTTGGTTGGTTGTTTTGGTTTTTTTTGGTTTTTTTAGCAAACCAATTTTTTTGTTGTTTATAAACTGTATAAAGCAATATTGTTTATAAATTCCTCTGCGTTCCTTCTAGATGAAAGGCCCTGTGTAAATGTTATTACTCTCACACTGTCACATACTTTCCAAAACTCTTCCATTGTTCTTGCACTTCCTTCTGTTTAAGTATCACCCATAAAATGGAGTAAAAGAGCAAAGGAGCAGGATGGACCCACTGAGAAATCAGGTTTGCCACCCAGGGCCTTTTTTTCTTACTTATTTTTTATTATTATTAAATTATTATTATTACTACAGAGATCTCCTTCCCTGTTCACTCTACCATGGCAGTTTGAAGCATCTACACTTGGATGGTCCCAGTGGGTCCCTCCCAGCTCACAAATTCCATCACTTTATGATTTTACTGTTACTCCACAGGTCCAAGCACAATCCCAGAGCTTTCACTAAAAAATATCAGTGGCCTTTCATGTTCATTAGGCCTCGCTGTTTAATTTAGCACTAATTTGATTGATTTCAGTGCAATGTTTAATCTCAGGTTTACTTTCTTTTTTTGTTCAGACTTGGACAGTGACAAATAATAAAAGCTGCCACTGAGGTTGTTGTTTCTGGGCAGGACAATGTCAGATGGCTTTGTCTGCCCTTTAACATTAAGGATTTGGGTGCTTTAGATAAAAATAACTTCTATAGAAACAAAGAGCACTTCCTGTTTTACATCTAATTTGTAAAACTGTCAGAGCCTGGAGATATGACAGACAGACATCTTGGGGACTGAGGCCTCTGTTGTGGCTTTATGCAGCTTTTCTGTTGTATTTACATTTTCCTGCAGTGGAGCAAAACCTCCTGCAAGCACCAATGTTTGTTCTCATAAATCCACCACGGTGCCCTAAAGATCTCTCCAAAAAGTGTTTCAGCATTATCCTGGACTGGTGAGACACTGATCCCCACAGCCAGAAAAAAACACTCTTATATATAACGCTGTTAAAAAGAAAAAGCAAAATTAAACCAACATTTCTCAGGGAAAAACACCACGAAGGGGTAGGTGGTCATATAAATGTGGGTGTATAAAAATTAAAAGTGCCTATAGCAATCCACAGGGACATACTTGGCTCTTCTTCACTGATCAAGAAAATCCTGTGACTCAGGAGCTCCCTTCCCACCTGCCCTGAGGACTTTCGATCGGAGCTGATCCCCCACAGACAAAGGAATCCTGTCAATTATTATCCCGTGTGGGATAACCAGGAGAAATGGCCACAGCTGAGGAGGGAAACACACACAACTTCTTGAAGAATGTGACTCTTCAGGCATTAAACCCCTTCACAGGACACATAGTGTTTTTACTTCAAAGTCAGGAGCTCGAGCTGCTTCCTGCGAGCCCGACAGGGAAAGGAATTCCAACAGAAATGTCCAAAAAAGCCTTGAAAATTTCCAGACCAGCCTTGTGACAAAGTGAAACCACCAAATTATTCCTTGTGTGTGAATGTGAGAGCACGCAGCAATCCCAAATCCAAACTGCAGATCAGAGCACCCAACAGCATTTGCTTTGGGGGTTTTATTCACTTGGAGAGGTGCAGGGCATTCAACATCCACAGACTGATTTTGGCTGGGGGTGAGGAAAACCTTTCCAGGCTTTCTATACAATAAACTACTCTGACTAAAATCTGCAAAATTACCTCTCTGGGCTCTACAGAACAGCATCAATAGCAACGTGGTGCCAGCTAATGGCTGCAATAAGTGTCTCCATCCCTGGGGAATGCTGGATGGAGAATATATCAATATGAGGAGTGAAGGGCCAGGGAAGCTGGACACAGGGATGATGCCACATGCATGATGTTATCTGGGAGGATCTTTACTCAGGGCCCAGGGGGTGGGCAGGATATTCTTTATGGAGAAGGAAAGGATCCATCAGGCCATATTCATAATCAGCACTAAGTAAGCAGTTTTGGGGTGAGGAGCACTGATGGAATAGAAATCAATGGAATTCAGCTTTTCTGCAGCTTTTCTTTAGAGCAAAGTAGGGGCAAAAAAAGCCTGAGCATCACTTTGGTTTCTGATCCTTCAGTCACATGCAGAAAAGGCTCTGAAGGAAATCTGAAGTGAAGCACAATTAAACTCAGCTATTTCAGAAGCTATTTAAAATCCACACCTTGACACTCACAACTAGTAAAGGAAACACATTCTTAACATAAGCATCAAATGAATTTTTCTTTAATTTGGCCACATGAGCACCTAAACCAGTGCAGGATATGAAATTCCTGCTGGGCTTTCTCCTCCCCTTGGTGTATTTCCTTTAGGGAAAAGGAGCTGGCTCCAAGCACGAGGAGAGCAGTGATGGATGGAAGTGACTGCCATGAGACTGATGTTCTGCCTTCTCCTAGCAGACATTTAAAAATCAGAACACCCCACAGGGTAGATTAGGGGATATCCTGGTAATTTTTCTACAATAGTTACAGCATGTTTTTGCTCCACATTTAAGCACCTGTCTTAAATTCCCTCTCCCAGTCTGGAGCACCTGTACACTGAGGTTTTGTTACCTCAGTGTAACAAAAGGCACAAATAAAACATTCTGGCTCCCTGCCATCCAAGTCAAATCAGCATATTTCCATGTGATCCCAAGCAGGGGAAAACAAAGGTTGGTGCTCTGTCAAACTTGCTCAGGAAAAATCAGGAAATGCAGGAGTTAAAACATTCCAACAGCAGCACGAACTTGTCCATCTACATCCTGAATATTTTATGGTATATTTATTGTAACAATATATTAAGCTACACATCCAACCACAAAAACAAAAACAGAAAGACAAATACTCCTCATGTGCACGGCAGCTGCATTAGCATTTCTGAGTATCTTCAGAATTCCTGACACTGCTTTTAATTGGACATTCTGCATTTCATTTCTATGTATAAATAATCAACAAAGCAGACCAGAGCTTCTGCTTCATATTTGTTCTGTCTCAGTGAGGTTCTAAGGCTCCCACACCACTTAGGGATGGAAGAGGTGATTTCCACACCATCACCAAATCTTGAAAATAAAGATTTTCTTTTCCCTAAAAGTAACACAAAACCCAACAAAGAGCCAGTGATCCTCAGTAATATTTCTGCCCTTTGTGCCCTCCCTTTTGACCAAAACCAGTCAGAGAATTTTTTTCATGCTGTCAAATATCTCAGTGACGTCCTCAGAGCTGAGGTGCACCAGCACCAGTCTGGACAGGACACAGGCTGCCCCAACAATGCAAACAAAAAAGCCTCCAAGACCTTTTCCTGAGCTTCCTTTTCAAGGATTTCTATTTTTTAATTGATACTGGCACTGTCCTTTAATAATTTTTTTCAAAGGCACAGCCAAGGAAGGCAGTGGCCAGTTGGCTGCCTCCCAGAAATCCCTGCAGCTAACGAGGGAGCTCATTTACATCCCATTCCAAACACATCAGAGGAATTTAAGCCTTTCAAGATACGCTCTCAGGTCGAGGAGATTTCAGCACATGAAATGGGGAAACTCAGACAAAAGCTCTGCTGCAGCAGACGTGCCAGGGCACAGCACCTGCCTGGGAGCAGGATCCAGGGGATGGCTGAGCTTGGGATCCTCAGCACAGGTCCCAAAACCCATAAATCCAGGGAAAAAACACAGCTCTGCCCACTCACAGCATGGCACTGCCAGAGGGAAGGGCTGTGCTGGCTCCAGCTCTGGCAGCATCCAAAATGCCCCAAAAATGAGGCTGTCCTTAATTAAACCAGAGGAAAGTTTCAGAAAATCTTGAGTTTCTAATATTAAAAAGCAGCACAGCTGGAGAAATACTTGGCATTAGTGATATTTCAGGAATTTTTGGACTTTAAAAAAAATAATTTCATCATTATCTCCAAAAGTTTTATTTTATCCTCTTTAAATTCCAAAGCTGTTCCACAAAACACACAGCAAATCAAATTTATGTTTAGGAATAGAGTATCCCTGCTCCTCAAAATTAACTTCAGGGCATTAATTTTTAAAAATAAATTGCAGTATCTTAAAAAAAAACCCAACAAAATAAGCCCAAAAATTCTCAGAATACACATTTAACTGAGGGGTTTTCTATACTTTTGGTCTAAAATAAAGCAAGGTTTGTACTCATTCTTTTTGATGAAATAAAAGGGAGTGATGAATAGGACACAAATAAATCCTTTCCCCTTTGGATCTTGTCACTGAATCCCAGCAGAGTCCCAGTATCTCACATCCATGGATAGGAAGAAACTGACACCTATTGGCAACTTTAATATTACTGCATGAAGCTGCTTTCCCTCAAACTATGACAAAAACAGCTTCTCCTAAGGAGATTCTTCTATAAATACAGAGATAATATTAAAAAAAATTTAAACTTTTCTAATTGTGACTGAAAATACATCCAGAAAAATGAAGATTCGTTTTAACAATAAAATTCTGACCTTTCCAAAGTAAATTATGAACTGTAAAGTCACATAAAAAACCCCAATGTGCCTAAGGAACAACCAAAAATGAACAGTGGGTAGACCACTGTTGATATGGGTTGAATTGCTGCTGATGTGATAACCTGGAACTCCCACCTGAGGTTTTTACACATATTTGTGCAAAATGAACACAAGAATTGTTCAGCTACTGATGGATGGCAGTGTGGATGCCCTTCACAATTAGTTACAGCAATAATAAATACGGAAAAGAGTTCAATATTCACAGAAAAAGATTTGGATTTGGGATTTTTTTTTTGAAGCAAGTATTCCTGAAGCTCCAAATTATTCACTGAGACCTGCTTTGAGAATTTAAAAATAGAGAAACAAACAAAAAGATCTGTTCTGTCCACCTCTGAGCCCAAAATTGTACGTACTGGTGACGAAGAATTTTTTGGTGAAAGTGCAGCTGTCGAAGGCGGCGATTTTCTCCTGCAGGACCACAACGAGGATCCTGAAAACACAGAAATGGAAGGTCCACTTTAGACATTAAATGCATTGGTTTCAAGATTCAATATCTAAATGTAATTATTTCAAAAGCATCAATATAAACTCTGCAGTGATGAAGTGCCAGGTTACCAATCCCTGGCAGTTATTGAGGGCTCTCTCTCCTCCCAACCACACGAACTCCTCTGCAGGAAGCGCAGGGGGCTGATCCACAGCAGCACAGCACTTTTGTGATACAGCTCTTGCACTCCAAGCTCCATTAAAAAGCAAGAATGGAGCTGCAAAGACCCTGAATTACTGTCACTGACTCAAACAACAATCGGCAGAACACGAGCTAAATGTGGAATAATCCCACTGCCCGCCTCAGTGCACATTTACTAAAACATTTTATTTACTAAAAGCAAGGGGGAGTGTAATACCAAGAACATCAGCTGAGATGAACACAAACAGAGCTGAGAGAAGCAGAATTTGGGTCAATTAGCATATTAAAGATGGATGTTTATCTGTTTGCTTGTACATTACACTTTTATTGTAAAGGCCAAAACCACAGGGTAACAGGAAACATGGTGCTGCCTCAAAAAACAGAGCCCAGAGATGCAAATGTGGAAGCAGAGCAGCATCTTGCAAGTTTTAGAACCAGGGAACACTCTCCCACACTGATTACTTCCCAAAATCAAGTTTTTAAAAGCCTGACATGAAAGAAGTACCTGGGAAACCAACACATAAAACCTACATTTAGCAATATGACATAATTAATAATCTGTTATTCTCTCATTAGGCAGACTATGAGAAAGTATTTTTTAATTAGCTGTCAATATAAAGCATTATTAAATAGTGTTTTAATTATTCTAATTGTAAAGATACAACATGGAAAAAAAATTAATCACATCTCTCACTGACTAAAACACACACCTAATGCTTCATGTGAACATTATGACTGTGTGTTACAGCCTGGAACAGTCACCTTTAAAAGGGATGAATCACCTCAGCCTCAACTCATGTCCTTGGGGAAAGGGTGATGATTCTCTCCCAGCAGTGTGAAATCAGCCTTTAACCCCTTTTTCCCTATTTTCATCTGTTTTGGTACAAGAATATTTCCTCTTATCCCATGAGAGCTCAATACCTGGGAAGAACTACACTAAAATCAAAATATTCACCATCCCCTCATGCTTGCTGATGTTTTCAGATAAATAAATAACATAAATTAGTTTTGGACATATTAGTAGTTTTAGTTAAATGACATCTTCCAATTGTTGAAACTGCAGGAGAGAAAAACAGAAGATAATACATCAATTCTAACTTTTTCTACATTGCCTAAAGTAAAGGAAACCAATGAATAAAGGGAAGGCTTTGACTGCAAGGTGGAAGTGTAATGTGTATGTACTGAAAACCTATGGATATTTGGGAATATTTCTCACTCCTGGAGATTTTTGTTTTCTCCTCCTTGAAGACACTCTGTCTTTCTGCAGAAATGAACCCCCCAGATGGAAGATTCCAGAGGATTTATTGATTTATTTTTTTTAGTAGCAGTTTACACTTAGTTGCACAAGTTTGATGCACACTCCCCATCTGCATCAAAACCAGGCACAAAAACCAAATAATTCTGAATTCCCCAATGATTTGTGTTATTATTTACTGAAGGACCATCCATTCTGGCATGGCAATATGGATTCCCAAAGAAATGCAGGAATTTCTTCATCCAGGGCTCTACCTTTACCCCAGGAGCTGGATTGCACCACTCCCCCAGGGCACCTGAGGCCACGGTGACTCACGGCACTAATGGGAGGGTGAAGGGAGCAGAACGTCAGCAGGGCTTGGACCAAAGTCACCACTCCAAATTCTCCCACCAGGAGTGCCAAGGGATCAGCAGGATCCTCACACACGGATCCTGGGATTTCTCTTCTGCCTTAAAAAGACATGGCAAACTAAAAAGCAACCCACAAAACTCCAGTTTTGTGTGTCTGGGAGAGATGGGCATTTCACATTAACTCAGCAAAATTTGATTCCATGGACACAACAGATGCTGTTCCTCTGGAACTCTGTCATCCTCAGCCTCCAGACTATTTTCTCTCTATCCCTACCCAGAGATGCTGCTTTGTTATTTGACTCACTGGAATATTATTCCCTGCAAACCACAGGCTGCACACCAGGAATGTTTTGGATGTGCAGGGAGGCAAAATCTGACAGCCCAACACAAAGAAGAGACATAAACTCCTTAGTGCTCTGTGCTGTTTAAACTCTCTGTGATCCCATTTCCCCAGCTGTAGGTGGATCATCGAGGATTTCAGCGATTCCTGCTCACCCTTTAGCACAACTGAAAGAAGCTTAAATGATTTTTTTTTGTTTGAGCTTCTTAAACCAAAGCCATGGGGGATGTACACTGATGCATTCCAACTGAAATACTCCTTGAGAAACAGAGAATCAGAGCTGTGCTTACAGGAGAGTGAGAAACAGAAAATCAGGAAGGTCATACACCAGAAATTTTATTTATTACCAAAAATAAATAAAATTTATTTCCCAAACACACAGGGAATGCAGAGAGAGCACCCTTACCTTTTATTGCAATGCAGGTCATAAATAGGAGTTTTGAACTGGATGGACTTGACCATCTCTCCTGTCCTCAGGGAATACAGATCCACACAGCAGTAGGGTGGGCTAGTGCTGAAAGGAATAAAAAAAAGAATTTAATGGAAATCAGGGCATTTTAAAAACTGGGGTTTAATTCTTTCTGCTTCCTTGTGTTGCTTAGCACCCTGAAGGAAAAGTCACAGAACCACAGAATTATTAAGATTAGAAAAGACCTCCAAGAACATCAAGTCCTGGACCCAGAATTCCAGCAATCCCAGCAGAACCCTGGAGAACAAAGGGTCAATATAAACCTCCTACATTTAGAAGGAAAACTGAATAATGATCTTCATGATGGCCATCAACCTGTATTGTGCCACTGATTATCAAACACTTGGTCTCTTTTACCACCAGGAAGACTTTGGAAGTTTTAAACCACATCCTAGTACAAAACTACTCCTCAGAGTAACTCTCTCCTACAGGGAGGACTCTCCCAGAGCAGAGCTGAGAGCTGAGCTGCCTGCCTGAGGCCGATGGAGACACCTCACCCAGAATTTACATTACATCCCTGATGGACTTTTGTTTGAACCGTACAGATCTTTTCAACTCTTTGTGTCACTTTTATCATTTTCATATAAATAAAAGCTTTAAGGCCATTTCTTAATAAAAAAGGCTGAGTGGGAAAAGCACTGAGTGTTCGATAGGGCCGAGGAAGGCAGTGGTGGAAACCCTTTTAGGGGCTGAGGAGAGGCTTTGATGTGGCAGCTCTGTTCCACAACACCTTTCTCCCCCTCCAAGAACGCATTAAAACCTTGGCTATTTCTAGGTCAAGGAATATGAAGGAGCACAAATTGCCAGCTGTACAAACACATCCTGAGCATTGGTAAAAGAGGGTGTTCCCCCCCTGCCCGTATCTGTTTTATTTTACAGAGTTTCACACAATTCCTGCCCCAGCACTCACTTGTCTCTTGGATCTGCTCAAGCTGCTCGAGAATTTTCTGGAAAGCTGGAGGACAAATGTCAACTGTTTACCCCCAATGCCTCAAGATCATAAAATGGTTTATACACTAATGTAAAATATACAGTAATGCAAAATATACAGTAATGTATAATATACAGTAAATGCACAGCAAGACAACTGTCAGAAAAATAACTGAAAAAATAACTTTTGACATTTTGCCCACTGAAATTTTTCCCAAAATATACATTTTTCTAGGCTAATAACTAGAGGGTGCAATTTATTACTTCAAGCACTTCAAAGGCCCTTCAAAAACACCTTTAAACCAGTGAAACTCGAGTCAGTTCCTTCACATTAGAGTTCACTCCTGCTCAAAAACACAGAAAGCCACTGCAAGATCTAGGTACAAACTTTTTTAAATTATGTGATTTATTACCTCTAGCAAATTATAATATTGATAGAAGGGGAATTTCAAAACAGGAATCTCCAAAGTAGATACAGCTAAAATTATATAAACACACTTAATAGTGATTACTATTTTCACATCAGCCTGTTTTGAACAGTTTTTCCAATTTATGCGTAATAATTCTGTCACTCAAATGCATTATTATTATTGTTATTATCTCTTGGTTGATAACTGAAAAAATAACTTTTGACATTTTGCCCACTGAAATTTTTCCCAAAATATACATTTTTCTAGGCTAATAACTAGAGGGTGCAATTTATTACTTCAAGCACTTCAAAGGCCCTTCAAAAACACCTTTAAACCAGTGAAACTCGAGTCAGTTCCTTCACATTAGAGTTCACTCCTGCTCAAAAACACAGAAAGCCACTGCAAGATCTAGGTACAAACTTTTTTAAATTATGTGATTTATTACCTCTAGCAAATTATAATATTGATAGAAGGGGAATTTCAAAACAGGAATCTCCAAAGTAGATACAGCTAAAATTATATAAACACACTTAATAGTGATTACTATTTTCACATCAGCCTGTTTTGAACAGTTTTTCCAATTTATGGGTAATAATTCTGTCACTCAAATGCATTATTATTATTATTATTGTTATTATCATCTCTTGATCGAACATGGTAAGACCATTCTACCAATGCTTTTGTCAACCATACTGTGTAAAACCTTGTGTTCAAATGCCAATAACCAAGGAGTATCATGGAATCACAGAATTCCAGATTGGGTTGGGTGGAAAGGACCTTAAAGAAAGCTCATCCACTTTACAGGGACACTTTCCACTATCCCAGGTTGCTCCTTGTCCCCTAGCCTGGAATATTTTTTGTAGATATGCCAGAAAAACTCTAAAATTCTGTCACAAATAAAATTCTTGTGAGTAAGTCCCATAGGTTATCAACAAATATTCAGTTTGCATCCTGATTGTTCAAACAGCTGCAGAGAGAGCAACTTCTTTAAAGGTAATGGACACAAATCCACCAACAACTTTAAAATGTGGCAATAATAAATGTATAAATACACTCAGGCCTTTGTATCTTCTTCTATTTGAGTGCTGCAGTGCAGGCATGGAGGGGAAATAGCAGATGCCTCATCCAGATGGCACTTGGTGACATCTGTGCTCGTGCCCCATGACAGCATCACCTCTTCCCAGAACTGCTGGGTCCCACCATGGCAAAAAAGCTCTGTGCAAAATGTTTGCACAGAGACAAACATACCACTCAAAACATTCATGCTCTTTTAATGGAAAAAAAAAAACTTAAAAGGAGAAGAGTGATGGAATCAACATGAGGAAAGTTTTACTGTGCCTTGAAGGCTTTGCTTTATCAAGGGTTGATTTTCCTCCTCTCTGCCACACGATGAACATCCCACTCAAAGAGAGATGGACCTCAGTGGCAGGCTGGCCTCATGAGTCTAGAAAGGAAAAAAAAGAGCTTGGAGGTGTAAAACTGAAATAAAACTTTTGCTGGGAAAACTTTTGCCCTGTACGAAACGTTCTTTACGTGACGGAAAAAGAGCTTGGAGGTGTAAAACTGAAATAAAACTTTTGCTGGGAAAGCTGCCCTGTACAAAACGTTCTTTACGTGACGATTTTCCAGTCAATTGTGGCCTTTAATAAAATCTTTGGCCAATATCACTGCATTTCATACCACCTTCACAAAGTTTCTTTAAAGCCCAGCCTAAAGCACAGGCTTAATTTTATTAATTACTTACAGACTTATTTTTATTAATTACTTTTGGTGCCTTTAAGAGGAAACAAAATTATTAAAACTTACACCGAAAGCCTATTTAAAGTAACTAATAGTTCAACATAATCTCTTACTAGGCCCAGTTTTAACAACCTGCAGGATTAAAAGAAATAGAATTTGCTGTAAATATTAGGTTGCTAAGAGCCTGAACTGGAATATAATTTCCAAACTTGCAGAGACAACAGGTGAGAGAAAAGTGACAGCAATTCCAAGGAACTGGCTGTTCAAGGTATACCCAAAAGATTTGCACAGCAAATTACTCCACAAGGTTGAGTTGTTTTTTTTTAATTACTACTCTATAAAGCATCAAATCTACCAATAAATTGCTGGTTAAAAAAGGCTATTTCCTTGTGGGAATGTGGAGGATGCTGACAGTGACCCAAGTCTTTAATCAGCAGGGGTGGTTACAATTCTCCTGTTCTAACTCTCTGGTGCTTCACAGAAGGGGAAGAGAAGCAAAACAAAACCAGAGCACAGAGTTAATTAATTGAATATTGGAAAAATTCCTGCCTGAACCTTTACACTGGAAAGTTGAAGCATGAGATTTGATTATGATCTTTGTAGCAATATTAGGAACATGGTGAGACCACAAAGGCAATTCTGTTCTCCTCAAGGGCCCTGAAGAAGGTTTGCTCAGATTAACAGATTTCAATTCTGGAAGGATCATCTTCTCTTTCCAGGCCATGAACAAAATGTCCCAGAAGCTCAAAGAAATTATTTTTTACCAAGCAACCTAATCTTGTCTTAAAAGACTTTGACCAACAATGAGTCCTCTATTTTTATGGTGAGCGGTTCCAACATTTTGATCCTTTTATTTTTATGAAATGACTTCTTAGTGCCTGACAGAATTGGTACATATTCTGCTTTTTGGCTTCTATGTCTCTGTCAAGGACACAAAAAGGCTCACTGCCTTCAGTTACCTTTTGTCAGTAATCACCCAGAGCAGTCCAGGCACCAAGAAAGTGAAAAAACTTTTGAGCCTTAAGCTGTAAGGTTTGTTTTCCAGGCCTGGCACTGAACTCCTCTAAGCCCTCTTCAGCAGGGCAATTCTCCCCTTTCTTTCTGAGAGATGCACACCAGAAAGAAAACTTTAAAAAAATAATAAATTAAAATATTTCTTTCTAAGAAAGAGCCTTCATTAGGCTCTCTGCATCCCATCTTTTCACAATAAAAACTTGAAAACTCCACTCTGTAAGTAATTTTCAGATTCATGGTACTTAACAGATTCATTCAAAATCAAGAAAAGCAGCACAAAATTTCTCAGAAAGTGACGCTTCCCCCAAAATGTGTGCGCAGCACTGAATCACAAAGCAGCAGAGACATTTTAAGTGCACCACAAATTACAAAAAGCATGGAAACACTTATTTCTAAATAAGAAAAACCTGTACCAACCTTAGACACATGTTACTAAATCTAATCCTTTAAATACAAGGGAGGGAGTTATTTGATACAGCACTAAAATAGTTGTGTTAAACACCAGGAGATACAAACTTCACTGTTGCATCTTCCTCAAATGCTTTGATCAAGTCTATCAGCACAGGAAAAAAAGTTCACCTTAGCTGTGAACTTCACCATCTCCACTGAAAATATTTTTATTACTTGCCCATGACACAAGAAGTCACCAAGTCCGCAGAAATCTTTTGTAACAGGTAAAATGAGTCAGGCTTCAGGCTCAGGAATCTACTTTTTTTTCATCATAAGGAATAATTTTATTTCTGTTAGCTCATCACTGAGGCATTCCTTCACAGGGCAGGGTCTAACTGCACCTGGAATGACCCAGGAAGGACTGACTGAGGGATTGGTTGAAGGAGTGGTTTCTGTCTCCTGAATAACTCTGGCCATGGGCTGTGAGAGAACCTGAGACTCCACAGTGACTTTTCCAGTTCTGAGCAACTTCAACAACCATTAATCCACTGCTGTTCCATG